CTCTGTTTTTTTTTTTTTTTTTTCCCTAATGGTCCATTTGTTTAGCAGGATAATGATAGAAAATGCAAGAAAGAAAAAATTTTAAAAATTTTCATGTGTTTGGTTATCATGAAATAGAAAATGATGGAAAAATAATTTACTTAGATTTTCTCACAACTAACCAATTTTTTTTTCTTGTAAAAAACACAAGAAAATACAAGAAAGTTGTGATTTTTAATTAAATTCCAATGTTACCCTAATTTTTCTTAAAATATTTTATTGCTTATTAATTTAAAAAAATCTTAGTATAAATTTGATTAATCATATAATTTAGTTCTAAAAATTTGGTGTTGGTGCTTATCCCAGAATTAGATTAGGAGCCATTTTTTTAAATTTTTTTAATTATAATAAATATTTTTTACTTTTTTAGATCGATTTAATATATTTAAGGGTAATTTAGACAATTAAAAAAAATTCTTGTAACTTTCCTTTATTTCAAATAATAGACTGAAATTTTTTTAAAACTTTCTCATTATTTTTTCATGCTACCCAAAAATACATGCATTATCATTTTCACATTCCCTCGTTCTTTTCTTTCTAACCAAAGGAATCCTAATTAGAGGTGTTTGGGTTGGCACAAAACATCGGAGGTACTTTAACTCCCAAAAAATGGCCCAACCCAGTTATAAGCCCAAGGTATCCACAAGGGCAGGTGGTCATGGGCCTTGCTTGGACTAAGATAGATGGGCTGTTCGACCTGGGTCCAGAGAAGGCCCAGTATTTCATTGGGCATTGTATTTACTAGGTATGGGCGGCCCGAACTGGGCCCAGAGTAAGCCCATTATTTCATCCGAAAACTCTTTCTTCTCCCTCTGTTTTTGTCTCTGTAATCTTGTATCTTCTCTACCAAGTATAAGGTCACGAGTATAATATCAAACTCACACTCTATAGAGAGAGAGAAAGAAGAGGACAAGAGGGAAGAGAGAGATTAGCATTTAGCAGCACGAAGCTTCAAGCCTCAATGGAAGCTCTTAGACACTTTGGCATCGGCATTTGTGCTCCAAGACTAGCACCGTTATTTCCATCACCAACCTCCACAAAACCCCCGAGACTCAACGCCGTCAGCGGCGGTGCCAGCAGTGTCCCCAACAACTTCTCCGCCAGCAAATGGGCCGATCGCCTCCTCGCTGACTTCCAATTCCTCCCAACTACCACCTCCGACCCTCCGGACCAAACCATTTCCACTCTCACTCCTCCGTTTCCTCCTCCACTTGCTGCTCCCGAGCGTCACGTGTCAATGCCCATCGACTTCTACCGAGTGTTAGGAGCTGAAGCGCACTTCCTCGGTGACGGTATTAGAAGAGCCTACGAAGCTAGGGTTTCGAAGCCACCACAATATGGGTATAGTCAGGAGGCATTGATTAGCCGAAGACAAATCCTTCAAGGTGCTTGCGAAACCCTAGCTAACTCTCGATCAAGACGAGAGTACAATCAAGGCCTTACTGAAGACGAATTCGATACAATTCTTACTCAAGTCCCATGGGATAAGGTGATTCTTTTCTATTCTTTCCCAAACTGAAGCATTATTTTCTCACATTTTCCGAAGAAGTGACTAGAGTATTCAGAATAGTCAAGGCAACTTAGTGAATATCAGATATTGGAATTTGATGGGGGAAAGGATATGCAGGGGAGTAATGGTTTAAATTAGTTGTTATGCTAGTTAATTTGCGTCGTTATGGGTTGTTTAGGCAGTGTAATAATTTTCTTATAGCCCTGAAAAGGGCAATTTGCGAACTTGAAGTTGGCATATAATGCAAAACAAAAAATATTGTGAATCTGAGGTTAAATTTTGATGGGTTTGTAGTTAAATTAGGAAGCCATATTTAGTAATTGCTTTTATTTTCTTCAAGTTTATTGCATATTTTCCTTAGAATTAATTTGACGATGGAAGATTGTTGTCGAATATCTAGTGAACTTGGGAGTGAAAGTGGGTGGGTTTTGTAGGTACCTGGGGCATTGTGCGTCTTGCAAGAAGCGGGGGAGACTGAGGTGGTTCTTCAGATTGGGGAGAGTTTGTTGAAAGAGAGGTTGCCCAAGTCATTCAAGCAAGATGTAGTATTGGCAATGGCACTTGCATATGTTGATGTGTCGAGGGATGCTATGGTTCTGTTGCCGCCGGACTTTATTAAAGGTTGCGAAGTGCTCGAGAGGGCATTGAAGTTGTTGCAGGTAAAGCTTTTATACAGTATGCCAGCTTGACTCTCTATTTGAATTGACTGTTAATAACATATAACTTGTACGATGGATTGTTTCTTGGTAGAGATATTATAATTTTAAACTTGTAATTCTAGCATCATAGCACTTTATCTATAGTATCATTATAATTACCTTGTTTTGTGATTTGACAAGAGGCAAAGACATTTTTTTCCTGATAAGTGCTGGTAGCATCAGTGATATGATCTCCATTCCTCTTGTAGATGTTGGAATTTGTTTTATTCCTTTTATCTTTTTTTTCTCAATATTTTGTGAGGGAGGGCAAATGAAATTGGTTGAAGCCATGCAGACTTGAGTACTCACATAATATGAAAAGCCTTGGGTATGTGCATTAGCTTTATGTTAATGTGCCACATGCCTTTTTTCATCATTAATTTGGTATGAGGACCTTTAGAAGATCAATGAATATGATGTCAACCACGTTACATTGTGTCCACATCTGAGATAAAGTGCTTATATTTGTTTTTGTATCTACAGCACTTGTTGACTCAATATATTGATGCAGAACTACAGGTGATATATTTTCTATATATTTTGGCTTTTGTTTTTTACTGGTAAATTTGTGCTTCTTAGTTTCCTTATTTTTAATAGGACAAAATAATTGCACTTGCCAAAAGAAAGCACAATTGCATATGGTTATTCAGAAACCTGGTGTTGATACATGCATAGCTTTTGTAGGCATTATTTCAAATCTAAATGATTTGCTAGAAAGATAATAACAATAAATTAAAATTGTGAACGGAATCCTAAATTCATGGTTTGCATGTGCTTGCTCTTTGGTAAGAGTTGTAAACTTCGCTTCTTCTGAATGAGGGTAATAGAAGAATAAAAACTAATGTTTGGTACTTGATTTGAACTTTTAAAGTTTATGCAATGATGTTATCTGATGAGAGATTGTATTGAGATTATGGATCTTGATTCACACAGGAGGAAGGCGCAAGTAGCCTTGCACCAGATTTACAAGCACAGATTGATGAGACTCTCGAAGAGATCAGCCCACGTTATGTTCTGGAGCTTCTAGCTTTACCACTTGGTGATGAGTACAGGACCAAAAGGGGAGAGGGACTTCAAGGTGTGCGCAACATTCTTTGGGCTGTTGGAGGAGGGGGTGCAGCAGCCATTGGTGGGGGATTTACCCGTGAAGATTTCATGAATGAGTCCTTTTTACAGATGACAGCAGCAGAGCAGGTAACTAAATGGTTAGCTAGTACCATTTTCTCTCAGTTTTGTCCTTGTTGCTCAAATAGATCAGTTTCTTGTTTTTCATTTCGGTTAGTTTCTTTTTCCTTTTTTTTTTCTTTATTTTATGCTTCATCAATAGGTTGATCTCTTTGCTGCCACACCAAGTAATATACCAGCAGAAAGTTTCGAAGTTTATGGAGTTGCACTTGCGCTTGTTGCTCAAGCCTTTGTGGGTAAAAAACCTCATCTTATCCAGGATGCCGACAATCTGTTTCAACAACTTCAGCAGACCAAGGTAACAGCTCTAGGGGATTCTGCAGCTGTCTATACCGGTAGAGAAAACCGAGAGATAGATTTTGCATTGGAGAGGGGTCTTTGCTCGCTTCTCATAGGAGAGGTTGATGAGTGTAGCTCATGGTTAGGTTTAGACAGTGAGAACTCACCTTACAGGGACCCATCTATTCTTACCTTTGTGGTAGAAAATTCCAAGGGTGACAAAGAGGATGATTTCCTTCCTGGGCTTTGTAAGTTGTTGGAAACATGGTTAATGGAGGTGGTTTTCCCCAGATTCAGAGAGACCAAAGATCTAACATTCAAGCTTGGAGATTATTATGATGATCCTACTGTGCTGAGATATTTGGAAAGGCTGGAGGGAGTAGGTGGTTCACCATTAGCTGCAGCAGCAGCCATAGCAAGGATTGGAGCTGAAGCTACTGCGGTGCTTGATAGTGTAAAGGTTAATGCCATTCAGGCATTGCAGAAGGTGTTTCCTCTTGGCCGCAAAGAGGAGAGTGTTAGACGTGAAATTGATGGTGAGATAAACAATTCTACCATTGCATTAGAGAGTGAGGAGCCTGGAGGGCAAGATGATCATGATGATTCTGCCAACATTCTTGGTCTTCCTGAGAAAATTGATGAAATACGCGAGCAAGAACTGATTACATACAAGATAAAAGATGCATCTGTGAAGATTATGTGTGCTGGTGTGGTGGTTGGACTGCTGACTTTTGCTGGCTTTAAGTATTTACCACTGAGGAATGACTCTTCAATTCCACGCAAAGATGTTGGTTCAGCAATGGCTTCTGATGTCATCAATGTGGGTATGATCTAATGATGCATGCCCTGTATTTATAAAATATTCATGAAGAGCAATCAATTTTTATTAATGGATTATGTATGGTTGTGTTCCTTAAAGTGGCAAGAGTATCATTTAGCTTAACACCTGTATGGCTTTAACTTGTTGATGCAATATTTAGTCTCTGTCTCTCTAGAGTTTTTATGTTTCAGTATAAAATGGGAGTCCTTTGATATAAAAATGGTTAGGGCAGGATGAACATTATTGCTTGGTGTTTATCCTCTTGCTTTTGTAATTTCACCGGTCATGAAGGCTTTTTTTAATCTTTTGTTCCATGTTCTCTTCTGCTGTTGGTTCAGGCACTGATTCTCTTCTATGTCACACAATGCAGTGCACGCCTACCCACCCATGTCCTAACTGGACTTGAAACCTCGATTTCTCTTTGGCTGCATATACTGCCCACTGTTTTTGTATGTTGTTCCATTTTCGTTTCTGCTTCCTTTTAAAGTGCTAACTTTACTGAACTCTCCTTGTGTGTTAAAATGTCTGACTTCCAATCGTTGGGATTGACAGAAGCTTCGAAGGGATCCTGTAAATGATCAGACTTTCCTGATGTACCTGTTTCCTGCGGCATTAAGTGAATATAGGGCCTCAAATTTATTGGCATTGGTAGTGTAATATTATTTTCCCATGTCGACCATAGAGTTTAATCTTCAAAAATTCTGTAACTTCATTGTCTTTTTGCATATTTAATTGTTGTAGTGATAATTCAAACAGCTAGTTCCAGATATATGTTGTAGCATAGTTAGTGGGAGCAAGTATGCTGCATTAGTTCNGATTCTGCCAACATTCTTGGTCTTCCTGAGAAAATTGATGAAATACGCGAGCAAGAACTGATTACATACAAGATAAAAGATGCATCTGTGAAGATTATGTGTGCTGGTGTGGTGGTTGGACTGCTGACTTTTGCTGGCTTTAAGTATTTACCACTGAGGAATGACTCTTCAATTCCACGCAAAGATGTTGGTTCAGCAATGGCTTCTGATGTCATCAATGTGGGTATGATCTAATGATGCATGCCCTGTATTTATAAAATATTCATGAAGAGCAATCAATTTTTATTAATGGATTATGTATGGTTGTGTTCCTTAAAGTGGCAAGAGTATCATTTAGCTTAACACCTGTATGGCTTTAACTTGTTGATGCAATATTTAGTCTCTGTCTCTCTAGAGTTTTTATGTTTCAGTATAAAATGGGAGTCCTTTGATATAAAAATGGTTAGGGCAGGATGAACATTATTGCTTGGTGTTTATCCTCTTGCTTTTGTAATTTCACCGGTCATGAAGGCTTTTTTTAATCTTTTGTTCCATGTTCTCTTCTGCTGTTGGTTCAGGCACTGATTCTCTTCTATGTCACACAATGCAGTGCACGCCTACCCACCCATGTCCTAACTGGACTTGAAACCTCGATTTCTCTTTGGCTGCATATACTGCCCACTGTTTTTGTATGTTGTTCCATTTTCGTTTCTGCTTCCTTTTAAAGTGCTAACTTTACTGAACTCTCCTTGTGTGTTAAAATGTCTGACTTCCAATCGTTGGGATTGACAGAAGCTTCGAAGGGATCCTGTAAATGATCAGACTTTCCTGATGTACCTGTTTCCTGCGGCATTAAGTGAATATAGGGCCTCAAATTTATTGGCATTGGTAGTGTAATATTATTTTCCCATGTCGACCATAGAGTTTAATCTTCAAAAATTCTGTAACTTCATTGTCTTTTTGCATATTTAATTGTTGTAGTGATAATTCAAACAGCTAGTTCCAGATATATGTTGTAGCATAGTTAGTGGGAGCAAGTATGCTGCATTAGTTCATCCATTATCCTGAGCTGTCATTAGCCTTTTTTTTTTGTTTTAGTGAGGGGGAGGGAGAGGGGGAGGGGGAGGGGGAGGGCATTTATCTATTATTAGTGTTGAGAGCCTGCAAAATTTTTTCATCACTGCATCTATCCATCTTCAAATACAATTATAGAATATGACAGGTTGTGGAGTCTTCTTTAATTTTCTGTTACCTTTAATAGAAAGATGTTTTGGTGACATGGTTCATAATTGAAATTTTCTCCCTCAAGTTAATTTGTTTGTAGCATTTATAAGCTAATATTTAACTTTTTCTCCGATCCCTATGTGATCTCTGTCTGAATTCTTATCCTACTCATTTCGATATCAAATCATGTCATGAAACCTGGATGTCCTTTGCTATTTACTGAGATAGTAAAGAAAGATATGATAACTTACGATTTAATAGAAGATATGACCCTTATATAGAACAATGAAGGAACAAGATTTCATGTAGTTGATCCAAATAGTTTAGACAAGGGTGTTGAGTTGAGTTGGGTCGTTGCCACTCCCTTGACTTGTACCAGTTATGAACATTTCTTTTGTTAGTCAACAACCACTCCTTTGACTTGTCCCAATTAAACATTTCTTTTTTTAGTAAATAACTTGAGACCATATCCATTGTAGTCCCCTCTAACTGACATGTGGAATGAACAACCTGCAGAGGCCTTGGTAGTTGAAAATTATGAGGAAGTGACAAGGATGGATGCAAGGTTGGCAGAAGGTCTAGTCCGCAAGTGGCAAAACGTCAAGTCCCAGGCTCTCGGACCTGATCATTGCCTTGAAAAATTGTCTGAGGTCAGGAAATTTCTTCTGTGTATAATTTCATTTGTATGGTGATTCAAATACTGCAGTGACTTGTACTTAAAGTGCTCATATTTTTTTGGGTTTTATGCAGTTTACATTTAAGGAAACGTAATATCATCATTATAGGAACTTAACTTGCATAAATGCAACAACTAAGGCTCAAACCTTTGACCTTGAGTGTAAAGATTGGTCCAATGGCTTAATCTCGGATCCCCTCTTTAAAAGCACCAGGTGACCTGTTCAGACATGTTATAACACCTTTGCAGCAACTGCAAATGGTCACATTGAAAGGATAGTGTGTCAGAAGGTTGCGGTAAAGAAATAATCCCATGTTTACCCTTTTTCTAATTAATTTGTTTTTATTAAATTAAGTTCCTAATCTGCCCCAACATTGAGCACTTCTAAAGAAAGTATTGGAGTTTGGAGGGTTGGACTCTAGTCATAGCCACCCAAGTTGAAGCTGTAATCTCATATGGGAAAATTCTGCACAGACGATGCTGCATCATTTAACTGTTAATCCTGTTACAGCAATTGATCCCTTGTAGTTTGTGGTTATTGGGTCTTATTCATTTGAGTCTAATACCTATAACTATTAACTCAACTGTGAATTTTATTGAATAGTTAGTTTATTTGTATTCACAGTTTTGACACCGGTATAAACTATTATGTCAGGTCTTGGATGGTCAGATGCTAAAGATTTGGACTGACCGTGCTGCAGAAATCACCCAGTATGGGTGGTTTTGGGATTACACTCTATTAAACCTTGCCATTGATAGTGTGACCATCTCACTGGATGGGCGGCGTGCTATTGTGGAAGCAACTCTTGAAGAGTCAGCACAGTTAACTGATGTGGCCCATCCAGAGCACAATGACTCCTATTGTACTACTTATACGACAAGGTATGAGATGTCCAATGTGAAATCAGGATGGAAGATTACAGAAGGAGCTGTCCTCAAATCGTAATTTGGGTTTCTGGATAAATTTTCATGTAAATACAATCTTTACACCGGTCAATTATAAATATTTTGTTGATGTGCCACAGTTAGGTCAGAGTACTCCAGGACTTAGCTGATTTGAGTTTACATCCCTTTTGGCTAAACAAGTAGTACAAAAGTTTTAGATGGTTTATGGTTTGAGGTTGATACCAGTTGCTTATTTTGTCAGGTAGATAGACCCTATGTAATTACAGTACTCTTCACTACAATCTTTACATTAGAGAAGACACACTGTTTCCATCTGTGAGACGTAGGTTCAGTGGTCAGGCCACTACGAACCCAACCAATGTTGCAGCAAGGGCGGCACTCTCCTTAATATGGTCCATGTCTTTTGTATCTATTCGTTAGTTTAAAGGACAATCGTTGCTGCCTCTGCTTCGAGTCCAACCTGATGCCCCATTCCTGGTAAAGTGCCTCTGACTGGTTTGCTGACAACTACTTCAAAACTTGTCTGCCCAGTTTCTACCTCGCGGTTGATAGCTTTCATACTGTATGCAAGCCAACCCCTAGTCAAAAAACTCCGTGTGTGTGTGTGAGAGAGAGAGAGAGGGAGAGAGAGAGAGAGAGGAATGTACCTTGAGAGTGGATTGAGAATCTGTCCATCATTCACAATTTTGTTACGCAATAAGTTCTGTGAACCAATGGTAGGCTGCAAGCATCCCAAAGTGGCATTTTCACTCTCCTCTGCCTCTCAAATTCTAAGAGCCAGTCCGAAAGGGTTGACAGAGTACCCCGAATCATTGTCTTTTGTAATATTCCACCACTCGTGGGTTTTTGGTTCAGCGTCTTCGACCTACCACACAATCATTATGATAAATGAAAGATTTTGTAGGCAAGACTCATAAGAAGCTAGGCTAGGCAAAGTTGTGGTTTATCCTGCTCATCGCAAGCAAATTTCCTTCATACAGGTTGCTACATGTTCATGATTATACAAACTTTCAAATAACTTGTAACAGAAAGTAGTTGCATCTCCAACTCCCATAACTTACAATCGACGGAATACATAGTCATTCAACGATTTTAACGTAAACAACCCTGTGGGCTTCAAAATCCCGACCCTTACTCAATAGGGCAATTCAAAGAAAGGGCAAAAATGAGGACAACTGATTACTGCTAAAAGTCAGACTATGAGAAAACATTGTATGATCGACATTTGTTTGTTGCAAACTACCCGGTGCTTCCAAGTCTGATGTCTTCTCCTTAGAATATGTACTCAAGCGTATAAATAAATGCATATTAATCAGAAATTCAACAAAAAGAATTCTTAGGGGAGCTTTCAAGACGATCAACATGGCTCTTTGCTATAAGAAATTCTCAAGCCTCCATAACCAGCTGCCACACGATGTTAGGAATTTGCATATTCAGAAGTAGTGACTTTTAACCCCAAAAATGTGTATGAGCATGTGGCCCTGTTTAAATACAAGGACACTAAATCTTCTATGTGAACGCCAGTTTTTCATGGTCATTGCCTTTATCTGCCTGCAACCATCCTCTGCACATCCCCCGCGCAGAGCCACTTAGTTATGTTGCTGCAGCAGCTAATTCATGACTAGCTCGCCATTGCTTATAATCGGATCACATCCAAATCTCAGAATATACCAAAAACATGAATTTGTCAATTATAAAGCCTTCCATCGATCCCTTCACAGCAGCGACATTGTTCACCATGATTAGCACTAAGCAATAAGCATCCCTTGTCATTCCAAAGTTTAGGAGATTACTCTGACAAACTTCTTCGCCATAACAGAGACAGATTTAAGATTAAGTTACTGGCTTGGGGCATATGAGTTGCTGAACTTGATTTCACAATTTGTAGCATAAAGATCAATAATCACATTGACATGTGCTCTTTTTCAGCCTTCACACTCTATGCTCTACAGAGTCCCACCTAAATTGATTAATAACCACATACACTGTGAGAAGCCAAAGAAACTATTGCACACAGGCCATAGAATCTGTTTGGATGGTGAGACAAAAACCCAAGGAATCAGGCCATTCATGCCATGATTTTGTTAAGCAGATGTCCAATGAGATGAATTCGTCTTATCACTCTTATAATCCTCTGCCACAAGATTATAGAAGTGGATATTCCTTTTCAGCCTCCTATTTCTAAATCAGTAATCCTAAATAAAATCTCCGGTCACCAATAATTGCCACATGAACATTCACCATCCTTAAAATGGTGAAACCTTTTTCCATCTCTCACAATAATCTCTCTCCCCACCACTTTCGACATGAACTTGAATGCATTGTGGCAGTCCCCACAGATCCGAAGGTTCTTGAAGACCCTAATCAAGGCTCCAAGAGGAAGCTTCAGGAGCCCATAAGCAACCGCAAGCTTCTCACTATGAGTAGACAAAACATACTCCTTCTGTTCAGACTCCATATCATGCAACACATACTTTGTGTCTGGCACATACCCCTGTTTCCTCATCTTTAGTCTCAATTCCTCAAGATAGTTGTATACTGCTTGCACCTCAGGGTGCATTGTATCATCCACTAAGAATACATGCACCTTGTTGTCAACCTCAATCCAACTACAACCAGGCTCCTTCTTCACCCCTCGGTCCCTCATTAATTTTCGCACCTTGGCCACGTCATCCCATAGGCCAACAGTGGCATATATGTTTGACAAGAGAATATAAGTTCCATCATGTTGGGGCATCAGCTCAAAAAGCCTCTCTGCAGCTTGGATCCCTAAATCCATTTTTCCATGAAGTCGGCATCCAGCAAGAAGAGCCTCCCAAATAGGTGCGCCAGGCTCAAACGGCAAACTTTTCATCACATCTTTTGCTTCTGAGAACTTTCCAGCTCGACACAACAAATCAATCAAACGGGCATAATGATCTTCACCTGGGCTTATCCCATGCAAGGCATACATTGAATCAAAATAGCGACGCCCTTCTTTAACAAGACCAGCATGGCTACAAGCAGTTAGAACTGTGAGGAAGGTTATTCGATCAGGTAATATGTCTTCCTTCAACATCTGTTCAAAAAGGTGTAGCGCTTGAACGCCATGTCCATGCTGCCCTAAAGCTGCGATCATGGCATTCCAAGATATTGAATCCACAGAAGGCATGGTAAGAAAGACACAATGTGCTGCCTCAACAATACCACATCTTGCATACATTGTAATTAGCGCATTTCCAGCCGAGAGGCTTGAATTAAAACCAAGCCGGACAAGCTGAGCATGAAGCTGGCGCCCTTGCTCCAATGCTGCAAGCACAGCACAAGAAGTAATGGCGCCTGCAAATGCATAATCGCACGGTTCAAACCCATCTAACCTCATCTCATTGAACAGCTTCAGAGATTCTTCCCCAAACCCATTTTGTGCAAATCCTGATATCATAACAGTCCATGTCAAAGGGTTTCTCTCCGGCATTGCATCAAAAAAAGATTTAGCATTGGTAATTTTCCCTGCACTCACATATGCTGATAAAATTGCATTCCATGAAACAAGGTCCCTTATTGTCATCCTATTAAAAATCTTCAATGCTTCATCAACATTACCACATTTCCAATACAATGTAATTAATGCATTATTCACAGACAATGAAAAATCACGTCCAGTTTCTGCTTCTGTCCGTAGTATATAAGCATGCACCTGCTTTCCATGAAGAAACAAGCCAGTATCGGCACAAGCACTAAGCACACTTGTATATGTAAACTCGTCTAGCTTAATTCCCAACAAATGCATCTTTATAAACATATCCAATGCTTCAGACACAAATCCTTTATGCACATAACCCGAAATAATCGCATTCCAAGCAACCACCAAATTCTCATCCATCCCCTCAAAAACTTGCCGAGCAGCATCAAGATTATCATTCCTCACATACCCTGTTATAATCGTCGTCCACGACAACTCATCCTTCACTGGCATCTCACCAAATAACTTCCTAGCTGCACCCATCAACCAAGATGAAGACGATAATGGTGAAGATGCACACTTAATATAAACCGATATAAGAGCATTTACCACCGAAGTAACTAACCCTGTCCCAGACTTAACCACCACGCCATGTAGCTGCTCGCAATGCGTTTCACGATCAGCAATAAGTGACAAAGCACCTAGCACACTCGTGTAAGTAAAATTATCAGGACGAAAACTCTTCCGCCTCATGTCATTAAAGAGTTCAATAGCGGCATGACCATCATCGTTATGCGAATAGGCCGTGATCATCGCATTGTAGCACACAGAGTCCCGAATATTCAATGGGGTATTCTCAAATACCTCTCTTGCAAACTTTACGTCTCCAGAAGCAGAATACGCAGCAATTAGCGTTGTTCTCGCAACAACATCTGGATCGGGAATTTCGTCGAACAGGTGTTTTGCATAAACAAGGTTTGATGATTTGCAGTAAACATCGATGAGACGGTTGAGGATGTGGCCACGAGGTTTGAACCCAGAAGCGATCATGTGGGCATGGATGGTCCGAGCGAGGGAATGCGAGATGGGGCTTTGTGGGCAGCATAGTTGAAGCTGTGCTGCGTAACTGTTAGCCACTTTACGGATGTCTATCTGGCGGAGGTTTAAGTATTTGGCAGCAGCATTAGTCATGTATTGCTCGGCCACAAATCATTCTTTTGGCTCATAAATGCAGACTCGCACACTAGTTAAATGTTGTTGACCTCTAAATATTTTTATTTTGATGCGAATAATTCGTCTTTTAACTCATTCGAAATGAAGATTAATCAAATTAGTTCAAATATCCTGACTATAGTATATATATTAAAAAAGAAAAGACGAAGGTAAAGTCACTACATTCTTTAGGCCACCAAATTGGAGTCAAAGCAATGTGGGTTTCCTAAAGATATTGACACACAACATAAAAGAACTTGAAAGAGTAAAATGCATAAATGACTCTTAAACTATCACTCTTGTGTCATTTAAGTTTTCGAACTAAATTTCGTGTTAATTGAGTTATTAAATTCAAAAATTTTAGCAGTTAAACATCTGAACTAAGTTTTGTGTCAATTAAGATCTTAAATTCTAAAATTGTAGAAATTAAGCCTTTATGTCAACTGTCGTTAAGGTTTTAGATGGAATATATGAGATTCAAATATTTAGAGAATTGCTATCTTACGTTAAACTCAGGTATATGCGTGTATTTATAATGATGTAATTTTGTTACAACCAAATCATGGAAAGATAAAACAGAGGAATACATTTGAATTTAAACTGATTACATATCTAAACAAACATATCAAGAATCCTGAGAAATATTTGAACTGATCTTTGAGTAACTAGTTGGTGAGGAGCTGCTGGTTGTTATTGTGGATAAGTCTCTAACACGCCGCCTCAAGTTTAATTGTGCAGAGGCAATGTTCAGCTTGTCACAACGGAGAGAAAATCGGGAGGAGGATAGTGGCTTGGTGAAGATGTCAGCTACCTGATCTTTGGTAAAAATGAAGCGGATGTCCAATGTACCATGAGCAACCAAATCTCGAACAAAATGAAAATCTATCTCAATATGTTTGGTTCGAGCATGAAAAACTGGATTTGAGGATAAATACATTGCACCAATATTGTCACACCAAAGACTAGGAGTTGTAGCGGGAAGAGACTCCAGTTCAGTTAGAAGAGAGCATAACCATGTGATCTCAGCAGCGGTATTTGCTAAGGCCTTATATTCAGCTTCAGATCTAGACCGGGCTATAGTAGCTTGCTTCTTACAACTCCAAGAAATTAGATTGCCCCCGAGAAAGACATAGTAGCTACTTGTGGAGTGTCGATCATCAGTATTACCAGCCCAATCTGCATCGAAGTAGGCTTATAGTGAAAAGGAGCGTGACTTGTGAAATTGGAGGCCAAAATCCACGGTTTGCTTGAGGTAGCGTAGCAAGCGCTTGGTTGACTACCAATGGAGTGTTGTCGACTTGTGAAGAAACCAGGATAGCTTGTTAACCATGAATGCTATATCTGGTCTGGTGATGCAGAGATTGAAGAGCACCAATAGTACTTCTGTAAAGTGTTGGGTCTGAAAATTCTTCACCTTCATAAGCCGAAAGTTTTGTGGATGTGGCCATAGGAGGATGAACCGGTTTTGCTTCTAGCATATTAGTTGAGACAATATGAAGCCCTTGGAATTTTGAATCATTTCAACACCAAGAAAAAAATGTAGAGGAGCCAGATTTTTAACAGCAAATTCATTGTGTAAAGCTGATATCAAATCATCAATGGCCAACCATTTATTGCTTGTGATGAGAATATCGTCCACATATATAGGCATAAATATTTTGATTGTGGAAGATTATAAACCAACAAGGAAGTGTCGAACCGCGTACCGTTAAATCCAAGAGCAAGAAGCTTGTTGCTGAGTCTAGCAAACCAAGCCCGTGGGGCTTGTTTAAGACCATACAACGCTTTTTGTAAATTACATACATGGTTTGGGTACTGGGGATGAAGAAAACCAGGAGGTTGAGACATATACACTTCCTTTAATAAATTCTCATTTAAGAAAGCATTTTGAATATCGATTTGATGAGTAGCCCAACCAGTCGAGATGGCTAAGGAAAGAACAAGATGTACCATTGTAGGCTTGACAACAGGACTAAATGTTTCACCATAATCCATACCTGGTTGTTGATGATAGCCTTTGGCAACAAGACGTGCTTTATAGCGTTCAATAGTATCATTTGCATGTCGTTTGATGCGAAACACCCATTTCGAGCCAATGATGTTACAAGCTGAAGTAGGAGGAACTAATGTCCATGTTTGATTTTTTAGAAATGCATCAAATTCAATGTTCATTGCTTGACGCCATAGTGGATCTTTGATTGTTATGGTATAGCAGGTAGACTCAGTAGGCTGTTGGGAGGCTTCGGTTAGGAGAGCTTGTTGTATTGGATATTGGATCATGCCTTCAGGAAGGTGTTTGGGTTTTTGGATATTGTTTTTGGACCGGGTAATCATTGGGTGCACTGATGTTATTTGGGTATCAGTATTGGAAGGAGAAGAATTTTCTGAGTGCAGAGAAGGTTGTGGGGCCGAAGTAGAAGAGATTGGGTTAGGAAGGGAAGGCTCAATAGGGGCGGTTGCATGTGGTGAGGTTAAGGAGAGATCTGGACAAGGTGTATGAGTTCCGCTTATGGGTTGGATGTGGTGAGGAGTGTCTATATTGAGAGAAATGGGATAAAACCATGAATATTTGCTAAATGCATCCAAAAAAGAAACATAATATTTATTTCCAGTGTTTGAACAAATAGGAGCAGGGCCCCATACATCAGTATATATTAATGCTAAAGATTCTATAACTTGAGTAAAAGAAGTGAAAAAAGGTAATTGCCGACTCTTTGAACTCAAGCAAGCAAAACATTTTTGAGAGATGAAGTGTCGATGTACTGGGACTTGCAATTGACGAAGGATGCGATGAACAATTTGAAAAGAAGGATGACCCATGCGAGCATGCTATAAGGAGAGAGTGGAGTGTTCCCTTGAGAAAGCAGATGGAACACATTTGTTTTGAGTGGCTGAAATTTGATAGAGTCCATGGTTACTCGGGCCTTGGAGTAGCAACTTCCCCGTAGCGCGATCCTTCAAAAGAAAATAAGATGGGTGGAATTCAAAAAATGTAGTAGTATCTTTTGTGAAGCGTTGGACAGAAAGCAAATTTTTGCAAATATGGGGAACATGTAACACATTATTGAGTTGAAGTTTGAGTGAAGGAGTAGTAATTTGGGTGGTGCTAATATGATGAATAGGAAGACCATTACCATTGCCTACGCGAATTGTGTCAGATCCAGAGTATTCTTCAGCTTTAACATTTGGATTGGCAAGTTTGGAAGTGAGGTGGTGTGTAACACCTGAGTCCGGGTACCAGTTTGCTTCAATTGAATTATAGGGAGCTGATAAATATGCTTGGCCTTGAGTGGAGTCCCGCAGGTAAGAATCATCATACATGTGATAACAATCCAACGCCACATGACCCATTTTGTTGCAAATTTGGCAAACGAGACGGGAGTTATTGGAGGAGGATGAAGAACTTCGACCACGCCCCCTTGCCTCGTTTGTTCCGAGATGGTGAGTTCTGATAATTTCCTCCTCCATTTTGGCTTGGAGAGCCGCAACGATTTCCGCGGCCACCACGATTTGTGGTGTTGCGGGATGTGAAATTAGCATTGACGACAGTTAGATCAACTGTGGCTTGATGCTGCTCCAATCGCTTTTCATGAGCAAGGAGATGACCATAAAGGTCTTCAATTGATAGAGGTTCAACTCTAGTTGTAACAGATGTGACAAAGGAGTCATAATCTAGTCCAAGGCCTGCAAGAAGAAAAGAAATAAGCTCATAATTATTTAAGGGTTGATCAACGACAGCGAGGGTATCTGTGAGGTTGGTGAATTGCTAAAAGTAATCAACAATGGAGAGGTTGGATTTTTTGAGAGCCACTGAAAGTGTATATGGGTGATCCGGGCATGAGAGGTGGAGGAAAACATGCGTTCTAGTGCAAGCCACATTTCGCGCAAGGTGGTGCATTTGACGACANATGCTATAAGGAGAGAGTGGAGTGTTCCCTTGAGAAAGCAGATGGAACACATTTGTTTTGAGTGGCTGAAATTTGATAGAGTCCATGGTTACTCGGGCCTTGGAGTAGCAACTTCCCCGTAGCGCGATCCTTCAAAAGAAAATAAGATGGGTGGAATTCAAAAAATGTAGTAGTATCTTTTGTGAAGCGTTGGACAGAAAGCAAATTTTTGCAAATATGGGGAACATGTAACACATTATTGAGTTGAAGTTTGAGTGAAGGAGTAGTAATTTGGGTGGTGCTAATATGATGAATAGGAAGACCATTACCATTGCCTACGCGAATTGTGTCAGATCCAGAGTATTCTTCAGCTTTAACATTTGGATTGGCAAGTTTGGAAGTGAGGTGGTGTGTAACACCTGAGTCCGGGTACCAGTTTGCTTCAATTGAATTATAGGGAGCTGATAAATATGCTTGGCCTTGAGTGGAGTCCCGCAGGTAAGAATCATCATACATGTGATAACAATCCAACGCCACATGACCCATTTTGTTGCAAATTTGGCAAACGAGACGGGAGTTATTGGAGGAGGATGAAGAACTTCGACCACGCCCCCTTGCCTCGTTTGTTCCGAGATGGTGAGTTCTGATAATTTCCTCCTCCATTTTGGCTTGGAGAGCCGCAACGATTTCCGCGGCCACCACGATTTGTGGTGTTGCGGGATGTGAAATTAGCATTGACGACAGTTAGATCAACTGTGGCTTGATGCTGCTCCAATCGCTTTTCATGAGCAAGGAGATGACCATAAAGGTCTTCAATTGATAGAGGTTCAACTCTAGTTGTAACAGATGTGACAAAGGAGTCATAATCTAGTCCAAGGCCTGCAAGAAGAAAAGAAATAAGCTCATAATTATTTAAGGGTTGATCAACGACAGCGAGGGTATCTGTGAGGTTGGTGAATTGCTAAAAGTAATCAACAATGGAGAGGTTGGATTTTTTGAGAGCCACTGAAAGTGTATATGGGTGATCCGGGCATGAGAGGTGGAGGAAAACATGCGTTCTAGTGCAAGCCACATTTCGCGCAAGGTGGTGCATTTGACGACATGAGATAGAATTTTTTCTGTGAGGGAGGAGGTAAGGGCACTCAAGATGAGTTGATCTTGAAGGTGCCAAGAGTGGAAGGCAAGATTTGAAATGGTATGGGTTTGGTGGTCACTTTCGGGGGTCGGAAATATGAGTAGGTGGTGCCGAAAGTGAGCCATCAACATAGCCGAATAAATGAGTGTCTTTGAAGTAAGGAACAATTTAGACACGCCAGAGCAAGTAATTGTCATGACTTAGCCTGAAAGTGATAAAGGGGTGAGGAGTAAGAGAGGTGGGTGGTGATGGAACGAGAGCAGAGGAAGTGGGAACTAAGGAGGCCATTAGGATCAGACATTGGTCACTTAGGCTCTGATACCATGTGAAGATTCAAATATTTAGAGAATTGCTGTCTTACCTTAAACCCAGGTATAGACGTGTATTTATAATGATGTAAAATATATTCTATTACAACCAAATCATGGAAAGATAAAACAGAGGAATAAATTTGAATTTAAACTGATTACATATGCAAACAAACAAATCAAGAATCCAGAGAAATATTTGAACTGATCTTTGTGTAATTGTTTTGTGAGGAGCTGCTGGTTGTTGTTGTTGTTGTGGATAAGTCTCGAACAAAATATCTCACGTACTTGTCACGTGGATAATAATTTAGGGGCATTTTAGATTCTATGTTCAAAACTTTTCAAATGAAAAATCTCATTTTCTGTACCCATCAATCGAAACTTTAAACATAAACCTCTTTCATACTTTTCGTTTGTAGATTAGTAAGCTCTTCAATTTATTGTAAAAAGCAGATTACATGAATATAGATTTTTGGAAGAACTTGCTGATAATGGATATGAAAGATAATGTACAACCAAAAAGGATAAAACACAACACCATCCCAGTCGCTAGTGACAAAAAGTCATATCCCAATCTCAACTTAGCTTATTGTCAAATTATAACTCAAAAGATCGTTCGAATTTTAATTTGTATCATCAAAGATAAAAAATCTTAATTTACACACTTTAAGATAAAAATTTGTATTAATGTGCATATCAAGCTAAGAGTGTCAGTTAATTATATCTAAACGCTCTCATGCTTGTTACTTAATCACCTACACTTCTTATATTTGACATATTAAACCTACATTCATTGCGAATCCAAATATGATTAAAAATGTTCACCAAATTGGGCTTTCAAATAATTTTGTTTAAGTAATGTATTGCATTGAATATAAAAAATATTATATAAATATTTGTATTATATTAGACTTTTAAATGGTAAGCTTCATTTTGAACTTTAGAATATAACAAACCTAAAAAATAAAGGGTAATATGAAATTATAATTTTTTATTAGGATAAAATCATATTTTTTAACGGTTATATTAACAAATATCAACAATAAGGGGTTATGTGTTACACGTGCACAAACGTCATGAGATATAGGAATAATATTCTAAATGTGAGGAAGTCCAAATGATTAAATGACAAGTATAAGTGATCTAAGTATAATTTATCTATTTAGTTTTAGACGGTAAATTGACTGTTGTTAGTTTTAGGTGCACATTGATACAAATTTTTATTTTTGAGGATATAAATTAAAAAAATTTATATTTAAAAATATAAATTAAGATTTGAACAATATTTCAAAGTACAATTTACAATTAACTCTAATAACAAAGAACTTGTCCGTGATAGGGACACAGCAAAACACTTATGTGGCCCGTGAGCAGTCCAAAAGCCTAATGGACTTGATCATGGGCCGTGATTTTTGACCTATTAAGCCTGATCCACTGACCAGATTAAGCCCACAAACAGCCTTCACTGGGACTTGTGGGTCAGATAGATTGGGCTGTGTCTGGCTGATCCGAGTAAAAACACAGTCTTATGAAAAAAAAGAAGAGAGAAGGAGTACAGAGGAAAGCATCGAGAGTCCATTATTATGGCCTCAGGATCGTCCAGCCCCATCATCACCCCATTATCACAACCTGGAAAACAAATAATGAAAAAAAGAAGAGAGAGAGAAAGAGAAGAGTCGTTCTTCTCCTTTCCTCTTTTTCCTTTTGTTCCCAGATCCAATGAAGACCTAGAAATCATCAACCCACAATCCAAAATTCCCTCAAATTGAAACGGTTACCCCCAAAATTCAAACTCTTCCATTTCCAATTCTAGGGTTTCAAATTGTACACCCAATCCTCTTTTTCCAAGATATCACTCATTCACAACCCAGATCTCCCCTAAATTGAAACAAAACTCTTTCATTGCTAAGGTTACAAATTCAGTTCCCAACCCACTTACTTATTCCACTTGTACAATTATATAACTACTGCTATTTTGAAACCCTAGGAATTTGAAAAACCCTAATTTTACCAATGGCGACGAGGGGTAGCAGATCAGAGAAGGTGAAGAGAATATTCCAGCAATTCGACGCCAACAGAGACGGTGGTTTGAACAGAGAAGAAATGGCCGCTTTGGTGGTCGCCGTAAACCCTAGAGTAAAGTTCAGCGAAGAGCAAATCAACGCGATTCTCGACGAGGTCTTCCGAACCTACGGTGAATTTATCGACGGCGAGAAGGGTCTCACCTTTGACGGCCTTCTACGCACCTACGACGACGGTGCTGGTGACGTGGACCGCGACTTTGATGCCCTTGGACTTGAGCTCAACAAAGATAATGACAATAATATCTCTATGGCTTATGAAGAGGCATCGTCGTCGTCAATTGCCGATGAAAGAGTAGTTGAACCCCACAAGAAACAACGGACTGCGGCTTGGGCAACCTCGCCGAATCATGGGATTGTTTTTGATGATACGTGGAAACTTGTTGATGATTTGGAGATTCTGATAAAAAGATTGAAGGCGAAGCAGGTTAAAGACGGGAAGTTTAAGGGTGACAACGGCGATGTGTTTTCCGACCCGGGGTGGTCGAGAGAATTAGGACCATCTGCGGAGATTTCGGATAAAAGGGTGGTTTGGGATATGTCTGGACATGACTATGCTGTGTTTGTGAAAGAATTGGGTGTGTTGAGGTCAAGGGCCGATGGGGCAAGGTCAAGAGAAGAAGCATTTGATGGGCACATGGCGATTGGTAGGGTTTTGTATGAACATCACTTGTTCAAGGAGGCTTTGGTGAGTTTTAAGAGGGCTTGTGAATTGCAACCTACTGATGTGAGGCCACATTTTAGAGCCGGCAATTGTTTGTATGTTCTTGGAAAGCATAGTGAGGCCAAAGAGGAGTTTTTGTTGGCATTGGAGGCAGCTGAGGCGGGTGGGAATCAATGGGCCTATTTTCTTCCTCAAATTCATGTCAATTTGGGAATTGCGCTTGAAGGAGAAGGTATGCTTATTAGTGCTTGCGAACATTATAGAGAGGCTGCAATTTTATGTCCTACTCATTTTAGGGCTTTGAAACTTTTGGGTAGTGCTCTCTTTGGGGTGGGTGAGTATAAGGCTGCCGTCAAGGCCTTAGAAGAAGCTATATATATGAAAAATGATTATGCCGATGCACATTGTGATTTGGCTTCTGCTTTGCATGCTATGGGTGATGATGAGAATGCAATTAAGGAATTCCAGAAAGCTATTGATTTGAAGCCTGGTCATGTAGATGCTTTGTACAATTTGGGTGGGCTTTACATGGACATGGGCAGGTACCAGAGAGCTTCTGAAATGTATTCCAGGGTTTTGGGTGTGTGCCCCAACCATTGGCGAGCACAACTCAATAAGGCAGTGTCTTTGTTAGGGGCTGGGGAAACTGAAGAAGCTAAGAAAGCTTTGAAGGAAGCTTTGAAGATGACAAACAGGGTTGAGTTGCATGATGCCATATCGCATTTGAAACAGCTTCAAAAGAAGAAATTGAAGGGGAATGGAGGCGGTAATGGGGAGGAGGCTTTTATCATCGTTGAACCCTCAAAGTTCAAGACAGTGGGTGAAAAGACTACAATCAGACAGGAATTAGTGAATGCCCTTGATATTAGGGCTTTTCAGAGGATGACCAGGTTGAGTCGTTGTGATGTTGATCTTCTAAAGAAGGAGATGAATGAAAATGATGCACCGGTGTCCTATTCTGGCAGTGGTGTACCTGAGAAGTCTATAAGGAAGGCTCCATTGGAGGTAATACTGCACAAATTACTTAATTTCTTGAGACCAGAAACCTTTGTAGGGGCTGTTAAAGCTATAAACCAGAAAATCCTCTCTGTTTTGGATGAATCAGAGTCAGGTAGGGTGGATTTGGGCATGTTTTTTGCTATTCTTGCTCCTGTATGCGGTGGTACACCGGACAAGCGAAAGAGAGTTGCATTTGATGCACTCTTGTGGCGGCCTGCGAATGAAGGTGGTACACAGATAAGGAGAGCTGATGCTTTGGTGTACATCAAATTGTTGAGGGCAATATATATTCCTTCTCATGGGGTTAGTGAAAGACTGGAAATCCATGGAGAGGTGGATACCTCAACGATATCTTTAACTGAGTTCCTTGTAATGTTTGATGATCCAGATTGGGGTTTTGGAATCATGTCTACCCTATTGAAGCTTGAAACTGGTGATAGAAATCGTCATGGCAGCCATGCTTGTGCCATTTGCCGCTATCCTATCATTGGGTCCCGATTCAAAGAGATGAAGTCGCACTTCAGCCTGTGTAGTCAATGTTACAGCGAAGGAAAAATACCTCCTAACGTCAAGCTGGAAGAGTACAGATTCAAAGAGTATGCAAGTGAAGCTGAAGCAGTTAAAGACAAGTGCATGTGGTTTGGTTTGCATTCTAAAAGCCCCTCCCCTGGTGGTAGCTAGTCAAGTGTAGGTTTTTACATGATCTTGTAATCTTGCGCCTATAAGTTTAGTTGTTCAGTGTGAAATATATATAGCTCATGATTGTATAATAAATCTTCTCTAGTCATGGCCCTGAAATCTTTGTTTGCTGTGGAGTTTTTTTTTGGTTGTCGTTTGTTGCCATTGTAATTGTTGATTGTCTAATGTCTACTCTTAAGATAATTATTGGGGATCTTTGTCAATAAAATGGATGATCATCCATGCAGGAGTTTGTTTTTAAATTGTTATGAATCAACAAATTGCACAGTTGATGCCCTAAATGGTGAGAATAAAATGTCCTTAAGGCTTCTGTAAAGCAATGTAACCCAATAAAAAAACACAATCTGAACTATCGAGCTTGAACAAGTAAAAACCGAGTCTTAACTAATATGTTTGAACTCATTTAACCTATTCTCCCTCTCGATATCTCATAGGTATAGTACTAAAAGTTCGATAAAGATTTAGGTATTACACTGTAGTAATTTTATTATTGAGCAGAACCCAGATAGGGTAAGACAACTGATTGTCTATAATTATTAGAGTAATGAGAAGTATCACCATCATAGTTGGTTGTCACCGCTATTAGTATTAGGTTGGGACGCATGATTTTGGCTTGATTAAGGGACATCAATGATTCACTCTTACCAGAAAAGATAAAAAAAACACATTTATATGAAAGTGTCGTCTATCATTAGAGTAAACAATCTTTTGGACATTACTTTTACCAATCTCACCAAAGTGAATTGTAACTTCACCTATATTTAGTAGTATATTTTAGTAGGATATCGAAAAATTATTTTATAGTACTTTGATCTTACGGTTTGATTGTCACCAACAATCTGCTGTTCAGGTGTCCCCTGGCGCTAACACTCTTGGTAAAGCTCAACAAAACTTAGATGCAAATAAGTTCCCCACTCGGTAACCACACCTAACAACAAGCTGTTTCCGTTTACAAACATGCAGGAACCATGACTATCCCATCCTCTAGTCGTGAAACCAGAAATCAATTTCATTTAAGTCTAGTTTGTCAAAAACAATCCCATTTTTAAATCGGTGGAATTATCGTGTGACACAGATACGAAGAGTGAAGCAATTTGAAGGGATTAAAGAAAGCTCAACGAAATTAAAAACATGCCAACCTTGAGTTTGAGGTTGGTAATGTACAAGGCATGCATGACGATGGTGATTATAATGATGATACCCATGGCCGCAAATGCATCACCATCCTCATCAAAACCATCAATTTCGCCTTTGCCACCACCAACATCCACCCCATTCCATGAGCAAAAGCAGCAGCCACAGCAGGTGAATAGAGAGGTTCAACTTACTGCTTTAGTAGAAGATTATGTCATCTGGGATCCGGCACCATATTCTGGTAGAGGTGGTCCAGCTCCTATTCCTCATCCAAGGGTAGTAGCCCCACTGGCCTCTTCTACACGGACCCTTTCAACCTCCAAACTCGCGGTAGGAACTTGAGCAGCACCGATCCACTCTTTTAGGCAATCACATATTCAGCTAGTTGTTCTGATGTAATACCTGCAATTACCTGCTCTCATCTGATATANATATATAGCTCATGATTGTATAATAAATCTTCTCTAGTCATGGCCCTGAAATCTTTGTTTGCTGTGGAGTTTTTTTTTGGTTGTCGTTTGTTGCCATTGTAATTGTTGATTGTCTAATGTCTACTCTTAAGATAATTATTGGGGATCTTTGTCAATAAAATGGATGATCATCCATGCAGGAGTTTGTTTTTAAATTGTTATGAATCAACAAATTGCACAGTTGATGCCCTAAATGGTGAGAATAAAATGTCCTTAAGGCTTCTGTAAAGCAATGTAACCCAATAAAAAAACACAATCTGAACTATCGAGCTTGAACAAGTAAAAACCGAGTCTTAACTAATATGTTTGAACTCATTTAACCTATTCTCCCTCTCGATATCTCATAGGTATAGTACTAAAAGTTCGATAAAGATTTAGGTATTACACTGTAGTAATTTTATTATTGAGCAGAACCCAGATAGGGTAAGACAACTGATTGTCTATAATTATTAGAGTAATGAGAAGTATCACCATCATAGTTGGTTGTCACCGCTATTAGTATTAGGTTGGGACGCATGATTTTGGCTTGATTAAGGGACATCAATGATTCACTCTTACCAGAAAAGATAAAAAAAACACATTTATATGAAAGTGTCGTCTATCATTAGAGTAAACAATCTTTTGGACATTACTTTTACCAATCTCACCAAAGTGAATTGTAACTTCACCTATATTTAGTAGTATATTTTAGTAGGATATCGAAAAATTATTTTATAGTACTTTGATCTTACGGTTTGATTGTCACCAACAATCTGCTGTTCAGGTGTCCCCTGGCGCTAACACTCTTGGTAAAGCTCAACAAAACTTAGATGCAAATAAGTTCCCCACTCGGTAACCACACCTAACAACAAGCTGTTTCCGTTTACAAACATGCAGGAACCATGACTATCCCATCCTCTAGTCGTGAAACCAGAAATCAATTTCATTTAAGTCTAGTTTGTCAAAAACAATCCCATTTTTAAATCGGTGGAATTATCGTGTGACACAGATACGAAGAGTGAAGCAATTTGAAGGGATTAAAGAAAGCTCAACGAAATTAAAAACATGCCAACCTTGAGTTTGAGGTTGGTAATGTACAAGGCATGCATGACGATGGTGATTATAATGATGATACCCATGGCCGCAAATGCATCACCATCCTCATCAAAACCATCAATTTCGCCTTTGCCACCACCAACATCCACCCCATTCCATGAGCAAAAGCAGCAGCCACAGCAGGTGAATAGAGAGGTTCAACTTACTGCTTTAGTAGAAGATTATGTCATCTGGGATCCGGCACCATATTCTGGTAGAGGTGGTCCAGCTCCTATTCCTCATCCAAGGGTAGTAGCCCCACTGGCCTCTTCTACACGGACCCTTTCAACCTCCAAACTCGCGGTAGGAACTTGAGCAGCACCGATCCACTCTTTTAGGCAATCACATATTCAGCTAGTTGTTCTGATGTAATACCTGCAATTACCTGCTCTCATCTGATATAAGCTCTATTTATTCATCCGCTGATAAAAATCTGTGTTCCCCTGTGTGTGTGTGTGTCCCCATCAGTATCCAACATACCATAGTCTCCATCTAGCCAAGTCACTCCATTTCAGGGCTTTCCATTTCAAGCAATTCCATGAGATGCTACAAATCAACAGTTAGCATGGGAAAGCCATATATGATCAGAAACTAGCTATTTCGTAATAGAATGTGGCATCCTCATCTTACAACCTTCCTTTTCTGGGGAATAAAGTAAATTATCCTCAATTCATGGTATGTTATATTAGCGAGAGAAAATATAAGTCAAATCAGTTGACTAATGGTACTGGTAGTTCACTGGCTTAAAAGGTAAGATTATGCGTCCAGCCCTTTAAATTGATGCAGTGATTGACACACAAGCGAACATTAACAGCAATCTTAAACGAGATAGAAATTCAAAGCTTCTAAATACATGCATTAAATAGACTCCTAATACAGGTCCACAGAGAGAGTCAGCATGACCATAAATCAACTGAAAAAACCCATGAAACTAGAGTAGCAACCTTTTGAAGTCTACAGAGTTGCTGGTTCCATTTTGTCATGAAAATCATTGCTGAATATAATTACATAAGATGAATAGAAGATGGACCAGTGAACGCAGCAATTTTCTGAGCGCGCTGTGCCTCACCCCTGTATAACCCCTTCGTTTCTTTCTTAATACGCCGAGCCTCACGCCGTTCTTCTTTTATAGAAGCCTGTATACAGAGAAACTCAGTGTCAATGTCAAAGCAATATGTCAGGGTAGATCAAGCAAAATGAAAGACCCAATAAAATTTTCCTCTAAGCATGTAACAAGCAAACAAGAAGCTTTCCAGTGAAAAGAAAATGTCCTTCCTAACAGTTACCTTCCGCTCTTTCTTTTCCTCCTTTGACTCTTGACCATGTTGCTTCCTCTTTTGCTGCTCAGTTCCCAAACAACTCACGTCTTTTACCTTTTCCGAAACAGACTTTCTACTGCAGGGCAAAAAATCTACAGGGAGCTTCTCTTTTCCTTTAAGAGAGATTAAATGCCTGGGGGAGTCAAAGGCTCCAGAGACAGTTTCAGCCAACTTCTTCTTCCTCCTTACTCCTGGAGCTTCAATCGTCCCAGGGTGGTTATCAAGATTTGAATATGTAGAGATGATTGTCTCACAATCCCAGACTTCCAATTCATCGCTACTCTCCTGTAGAACAACCACATCTTCATCTTGATCATCATTTTCATACTTTTCAGCATATTCCCTACATCGTTGGATCACATCAGCAGCAGATTCTAGTAAGTCTATATCGTTTGCTTTCTTGGTGTCAAGCAAGACATCTGAAGGAGCTCTATATTCTTCATTAAGTTTGAGGTTATCCACCACGTGTTTCTTGAAGGAGTGATTCAGCTTCTCTGCAAGTGATTCATCACATTCATTTTCTTCCACTATAGAACCACCATATTCATCTTCACTGTCTGTACCATATTCCTGAAGTTCAAGCTGCAAGAAATAATGGTAAAAGACTGAAAAGTCTAATACAAACAGCAGTACAGAGGAAAAACACTAAACCGCTCTTTCAGAGGTATAGCTCTCCAGAATGTCAAGACTAACAAGTCTAACTGTGATCTGTATCCGTGTCTCAACTCCAAAGAGTGAAACTCATTGGTAACAGAATGAAAGTTGTCAAAAGTTACAACCACGTCTGCAATAGTAGTATTCAAATCTTATGCATGCTCTTCACAACACATTCATCCCCAATTCTAAACTTCTTTTCTTATCCAAACTCCTCAAGAAAAAAAAAGGAATTATTGCCTTACTAGTCATTGAAATGTCACTAACCCCAGTTTCTAGTCAAATTCCGTTAAAAAAGAACTCCCACCTCAATTGCCCCGTCATATAATTTTATGTTACCTAAAAATTTGACATTGATCAGTTTATATATTTTTGTTCCCACCACCTCAATTGCACAAAACAAATGTCCTGTCCAAAAAAATCTGAGAAACGACATTAAACATACTAGTGCAGAGATGTGAAAATAAAACACAAGTCAGGAGAATAAATGGGAAACACATTCTCACCAAATCAAACTGTTCATCCAAAAGACGCCGAACTCTTGGCTTCTCATCAATGCAGTCTTCTCCGGCAGGCAAGACTTCATTTCTGACTCCATTGACGCCAGAAAAGGTGGCAACATTTTCTGGTGAATGAGAAGTAATTGTTCCATTGATTTTTCCTTTGTGGCCCTCAGACGTCTCTGCGAAACTCAACTTCTTATCAAAATCTACATCCACCGGTCCTTCAGGAAAGTTCGCCTTAACCACAAAATCCTCTTCCATGTCCTCAACATCAGATCCGAACCGAGACAAATCGCTATCATCAAGCAATGCAGCCACTTCGGGATCTACCACTTTCTGAGCTCTCACACCAACAGCCTTCGAGGCTACACTATAAATTGACTTCTCATAGGAATCATCATTCACTTCTGAAATTTCCAATCTAGAAGCATCATATGCCTAGCAAAAACACATCACATTATCGTAAGATTAAACAATGTCCCCACAATCAAAATCCTGATAAAACGTGGAAAAAAGGGGAAAAAATCAATTTTTTAAAGTCGCAAAAATTTCACCACCACTCGCAATTCGCAATTCAGAAAGGAGAAGAAGATAATACCTTAACATCACGAGGAAGCTGAGCGAGGTTTGCCTTAGAGTTATGATAGTACTGTGAACCAGCACCGGTATTCTTAATCTCTCTCAGATGAAGCAAGTAATTATATCCGTCGTCCGGAAACCCTAGCTCCAATATTTCCCTCCTTATATGATCCGGTAACGTCGCCGCTTGAGTTCGATTCCTCGAAATTCCATCTCCACCGTTGGTTTCATCATCGTAATCGTCAGGTGCGTCGGCGAAGATAGAATTAGGATCGTCGTCGAATTGGCCGTCGCCTGAAACAACTTCGAGGTTGTCATCATCGAAATAAGTGTTGATCGAGTAAGGATTGTTGTCGACTCTGACAAAAACTCGGTCGCCGGAGGGCCCGTCGTTGTAATTCGGGTCGGAAGAGTCTCGAGCTAGTAATTGAAAAGTTGCCGACTTTTTCTTGTCGAAGAATTTCTTCTTCTGCCCCATTGAAGCAAGTGAAGAGTCGCACGATTAAATCAACCTGAGAAAGATGGAGCTCAATTGACAGCACCTGCGATCAAAAAAAAATTGACAGTACCTAGGGTTTTGAAAAAGCTAAAACCCTAATACGTAATGAGATGGGCCTCCTTAGTAAAAAAAGCCCAGTTGGTCCCATATTCTGGGGCCCAGATTTGGTCACATTTGGTCCCCATATTCTGCGGCCCAAGTCTGTAATGGAGTCTGTTGGACTTACCAACCTAGGTCGTTACAAAGGGCGACGACACTAAATCGAGACCGTTGATCGAAAAGAAAATTAATATATTACTTTTGTAGTTTACCCGTTTAACATTTTTGAAGAAGGTTCTTACTAATATGTTTAGTTTCATTGTGGGTGATGTATTCGAATTCAAAGCCCACAATACTTTACGTCTGAAAGATTTGCAAATTCTTTTTGCTTATACTAAAACTTTTCAAGGTCCACTTCCTAGCATCCAAGTGGAGAGAGATAAATTGAACACATAAGATCGTCCCCTTAGGATGTACAATTAAAACGAAATTGAGATTATTTGTTAAAAACTACTGTAGAGTAGTTTATGAGTATTTACACGGTGGACTTAATTTCATTACTATTTGATGGGACACTTCAGACAATCAGTCAGGAGTCCACACGTGTTCTCAACATTAGAAACGTGGAAGCTTAGAAGACTAACATGCGTCTTCAACATCCATCACACTAGAGCACTGTTATTGAAACACAAGTTCTCGGCATTAAAGCTCCCTATAACCCATATGCGATGGACACGTATCTTCAGTGCCAATGATTCCTCGACGCCATCTGTGAGTAACACGTGTCCTCGGCATAAAAGGGTTCTGCAGAGTCCCTGCGAGCGAGACGTGTTCTCAACATACGTCACCTCAGGGTGTTTAGATTACGACACATGTCTTCGGCTTGATTGACTCCTCCAAAGTCTATTTCTAGACATGTCACCTTGGTTCTAGGATCCCGAAGCAGAGGTGTCAAAATGACGGCTATCGTTACTTGGAGTTAAACTTGGTCAATAATCATTAATTTGTCTTTCCAAAGCAGTCGGAATGGCAGAGAGGACAAACTCACACCCAATTACGATGTTGCACATGACAAAGAACATTGAAGCAAGAGCCAATAGATGAAGATGCCCTTACTTGTGCGCAACCATTACAGTGAAGTATTAAATAATCTTTCAGAAAGATGGGACATAGTTAATGCTCATAAAAACCTAGAAAGAAAGAGCATTAAGTGCTTGAGAACCCGAACATTTAATGTCTGAACCTCTTCCACACAAAATGGAAGGTGCTATGTCTAAGGACTAAGCACCTCCCACTACCTTCTAAATAGACCAATAAAGGGCTTCTTCTTCAAAGGGTCCACTTGCCAGTAATGATCACCTTCAGAGAAGTATAAATAACTCTCACAAATTGAAAACAAAGGTACACAAACTAGATTCAAATAATAGAATAGTATTTTTTCCTCCCCTCTCTCACATATTAACTTGATCGTCGGAAGGGTTACGATGAAAAATACTTCGGCACCATTCTAACTCTCTTTTTTGAGTGGCAGAATCCTTCTCGACTCACCGGAATGGTGCGGACAACTGAAAAGTAATTCATCATCACTTCTTATTCTGTTTCTCGCCTCCGTTTGTCTCGGGATCCTCGACTTTCAGGTAAATCTCATGTTCATTAAAAGAGAAATCTATCCTCTCTTTTTTATTGTGCGAAAATCACCTCACACACTATTCTTGCTTTTTTTTTTTACAATTTTTGCTTACCAAGTAAATGTAAACAGTCAAGCTGTGTTGGGCTAAATGTATTATAGTTTTATATTTGAGTTTATTCATTTAACACATAAACCAACGGTTTAAAATTAAGAACTCGTTAGTTCTCAATTAAACCCACCACTCATTGATTTTTTATAAACTAAAAATTCATTAAATTTGTATTATAGTAAAAACAAAGGAAAAATCCCTTCATATTACAAGAATTTAGCATTCAATTTTTTCACATCATACTACTCAAATAAACGTGTCTTATCGTGTTAAATTTAGGTTATTTGTGTTCCCATTAACCTATCTTGTTTTTTATTTGTGTTAGTAGGATGTATCTTTTTCTAGAATCATGTTAAGAACTAGTGAACTTATTAAGTTGATGTTCAAAAAAAAAAACAAAGAACTTATACATTTTGACCGTTGAAAAAAATACATGGTTTACATATTGAACTTGGTTTAGAGAGATGGGTGTTGATAGAAGATGATGGGAAGATCTGTTGGGAACCGAGAAGATGACACCAGTTTGAACGGACTTTCAAACTTGGAAAAGTTTGATCATTTTGTTTTGAAAAAGGGTATGGTATCACGGTATCGATATCGACATTTATAATTTTTTAAATAAATTTATAATTTTTTTTAATATATAAATTATAATTTTAAAAAATATGATCAATTATGAATATCTCTGATCGATTATTACTTTCTCTTCAGCAATTATAATTTTTTTTTTAAAATTATAATTTTTTCATATAAAATAATAATTGACGATACCGATACCAATAAAGGTACCTCTTTTTCTTTGGGGATTTGGCCATTTCCTTTTGAATACTACAAGTCTACAATAATGTTGTTCAAATGGATCCATCTTCTATCTCCTAAGATTAATGGTCCAAACAGGGAACTTGGAAGTAAACCCACCTTTTTTTTTTCTACTTTAGACTGAACTTTCGTAAGGAGTGACGTTTATTTTTATATCATCTCTAATTTTGACTCAAATTTAAATTTGAATAAAAAAATTCAAAAAATTTATTCTAACTTTTGACTCAAACTTGTACCAAATCAAAGGGGATTTATTCAATGATCGTCTTTACTCTCTTTTAAATTTGGGTTTATCCTCGTTTAAATTTGAATTTTTTTTTTTCAATTTGAGTTTGTTCATTTGAGATCTTTGTATCAAATCAAGTTTTTTATTCAAATATTAATTTAAATTTAAGTAAAAATTTAAGTCATAATTAAAAATGCTCTCAAATGAGTAAGCTTGGCGGAAGAAAGGGCACGAAGCCTCTATTTGGGAGTGGTTTGTTCATTTGTGAAGTTGAATCATCATAAATTTCAGAGATATCGCGTTCATTTCATGAATTTTTTTTCCAAAACTGTAACTCAGCTCATCCATGATTGACTTCCCCAAACGAATTGAATTCATACTTGTATTTAAGCTTAAACTAGGATTCAAACTCGTGTTTAAGATCAAGTTCCTCAATNTGTTCAAAAAAAAAAACAAAGAACTTATACATTTTGACCGTTGAAAAAAATACATGGTTTACATATTGAACTTGGTTTAGAGAGATGGGTGTTGATAGAAGATGATGGGAAGATCTGTTGGGAACCGAGAAGATGACACCAGTTTGAACGGACTTTCAAACTTGGAAAAGTTTGATCATTTTGTTTTGAAAAAGGGTATGGTATCACGGTATCGATATCGACATTTATAATTTTTTAAATAAATTTATAATTTTTTTTAATATATAAATTATAATTTTAAAAAATATGATCAATTATGAATATCTCTGATCGATTATTACTTTCTCTTCAGCAATTATAATTTTTTTTTTAAAATTATAATTTTTTCATATAAAATAATAATTGACGATACCGATACCAATAAAGGTACCTCTTTTTCTTTGGGGATTTGGCCATTTCCTTTTGAATACTACAAGTCTACAATAATGTTGTTCAAATGGATCCATCTTCTATCTCCTAAGATTAATGGTCCAAACAGGGAACTTGGAAGTAAACCCACCTTTTTTTTTTCTACTTTAGACTGAACTTTCGTAAGGAGTGACGTTTATTTTTATATCATCTCTAATTTTGACTCAAATTTAAATTTGAATAAAAAAATTCAAAAAATTTATTCTAACTTTTGACTCAAACTTGTACCAAATCAAAGGGGATTTATTCAATGATCGTCTTTACTCTCTTTTAAATTTGGGTTTATCCTCGTTTAAATTTGAATTTTTTTTTTTCAATTTGAGTTTGTTCATTTGAGATCTTTGTATCAAATCAAGTTTTTTATTCAAATATTAATTTAAATTTAAGTAAAAATTTAAGTCATAATTAAAAATGCTCTCAAATGAGTAAGCTTGGCGGAAGAAAGGGCACGAAGCCTCTATTTGGGAGTGGTTTGTTCATTTGTGAAGTTGAATCATCATAAATTTCAGAGATATCGCGTTCATTTCATGAATTTTTTTTCCAAAACTGTAACTCAGCTCATCCATGATTGACTTCCCCAAACGAATTGAATTCATACTTGTATTTAAGCTTAAACTAGGATTCAAACTCGTGTTTAAGATCAAGTTCCTCAATGAATAGTGTAGCTTGTTTACTGCACAAAATGCTGCAACAACCCCCCCCCCCCCCCTTCCGAAGGGGGTGCATGAAATTGAACTTGAAATTGGGAGTCTTCAGGCTTAGTCCATGAAATTGAACTTGGGTATGTGATTGACAAGCCATACTTTGCCCCCCTACTTCCTCCTTTGGACTTGTCTACCGTCCCGACCAAAAAAATTCAGTGCTATACTTCTAAAATTTATTATTTAAAAAAATATTTTTATATTTTTTATGGGTCAATTTATAACTAAAAAATTTACTATTTTTATAGATACTTTTACCAATGTTATGGATATTTTTATCGCGTTGTGATAATTATTTTTATCATTTTTCTTCGGTACATAACAATGATAAAAATATTAACAACAATAATAATAAAATTATCTACAAATAAAATAAATTTCGGTATGATAATAAAAATTTGTTTATGAGTACCATAGTCAAATCCTCTTTCTTTAAAAGATGACAATTTCAGTTTTTGAACTAAATATTTACAAATCCTTATGGTGCTGGAGTTGGCTACGGAACAGTCTAAACACTTTTTTTTTTTTTTGGTACCATACTAAAATTTATTATATTTGTGATAATTTTTATTATATTTATGAGTATTTTTATTACTATTATAATATCTAAAAAAATAATAAAAATAGTTACCATAATAATGGTAAAAACACTGACAAATATGATAAATCACTTACAAAAATGATGATTTTTTTTTATACTTAAGAAAAGTGATAAAAATACTTTTAACAGTAATAAAAATATCTACAAAAATAATAATTTTTTTTATTATAAAATAACCTGCAAAAATTATAAAAATACCTTTTAAAATAATAAATTTTGAAGAAATGACATCAAAAGTTTTTTAACAGTACCATAGTCAAACCCTATTGTGGTTGTCGCTTTCTTGGATTCGTTGAATTGAGCCGAGCCCACCACTAGTCTTTTCAAATTTAACTCTTACTTAACCAACTATTTAAGCAGTAATATCAAGATAGGTAGGACTAAACAATTTCCACAATTAATAGCTTGAGATTTTAAGGATACAAGCCCAAAAAAACATATTAAACTTGACATAAAAAATAAACATGGTCCAAATTAAGTGGTAGTAATCAAAGGGCATGCTTGTATGAATCAAATTTCAATCAATTTGAAAACGAATAAACAATTCTAATTTGATTATTGAGCGTTGATATTTACAAATTTAAACTCATTAGCTACGATATAACGAATTCAAACTCTAATTTGAATTAACATTAATAAATATTAATTTATTTTAATTTAAATTCAAATCAAAATGTAACATATTCACCGGTCTAATAGGGTGAGGGTACGACAATCCCAAGATCTACATTCCCGATTGGATGGCATTTTCAGCCAATCAGGGCCAGGGGTGACACCCCCACAAACGCTTTACCTTCGAGATTGAATGGTATCTTCGGTATTTCCATACTTCGATGATGAAAATGATGGAATCTGCCACTATTCCAAGTATGGGAATTTTCTGAAAATGAATAACACAAGGGAATATAATCAACAATTTTTTCGGTGTCAACCAACAAGCTTTTCGGTATTGAAAAGTTTGTTGAGTGTACCGTAGACAACTCCCTTGTGACCTGACTTTGGTATGGTCCCTCGGGCCAAAATATCAATTGAAGGTACCATAGTCGGATCCTAAAAAAGGCCCATCCATTTGCCAATCTGTCCTCCTTATCTGGTCATTTTAGTCACAATCATCTTCTCCCTTTCGGTAATGTCACAGTCGAACAAAAAAACAAAAGGAAGTGTGCTTTTCAATCTGTACTTCCCACAACACATGTTTCCATTTTTATAGTGAGGTTTCTTGAATCTACTATTAAAGGAAAAATGTTATCCATGATTCCCATAAAATTCAGCTTCTGAACCAATTTTCTCTGAATATTTTGAGGTTCCATTCATGGGTTTCAACAGAAAGATATTTACAAACACAAACGGTCTTGCAGGTTACAATTACGTGGAGATTGAGCCAACAAAAAACCATAAAAATAAAACCTCAGCTGAATTGGAGCTTGTGGACATGGAAGGAGAAATAAACTCAAAGAAAATCAAAAGGAAAATAGAACAAGACGAAAAGTACCAAAACCAAACTAGTTAATTCTGAAGAAGACTAGATGAATACAGTGTCTCTTACCGATTTGAACCCTTGATTTGATGTCCTACAAAAAAAGTCCTAGCTCTCTTGGGGGCAGTGGATAGTGGGGTGATCTGTGGAACAGTAAAGCAATTATCTTCAGTGCTCCACTTTCTGCTAGATTTGATGTGTGCAGCTTCCTTGAACTCCTTGGACCCAATTTGCCCACCAAAGGGGATGTTTGAAGGAGGGTATGAGTGAGAAGGCTGTAGAGGTTGCGGAGCTTGAGGGACCCAGATGCCCCTATTTTCTGAGGAGAAAGGACTCAGATTGCTCACAAGATTGGCATCCCAAAATGGCAATACATCATCATCCATAGTCTGCAATCAAATCAATCATAGATAAATCAACTCTCAATTCAATTGACAGTTAATTAAGATAGAGAGAGAGGAGCTACCAACAGGAAATCTGAAGGGAAAATTGCTAACCTTAGAGAAACCATAGGGGCTGCAAGAGGAATCAAGAAAGTCTTCCACATGCCACCCGGGAAGCATCTCTATCAAGTACTCAGAGATGCTACTTGTCTCAGCTTTACCCCCTCCTTCTTCACTATTCATCTGATCTAGTCCACCACCTTTGTCACCAATTGGTGGCAGTGGTGGTGGTGGATTTGAAATTGTGGGGGAAACAGAAATAGGCTTATTGATCACGTTCTGAGACTTCATAGTAGGAACAACATCACAACCATTAGTGAGAGAGTTGGCAGAGGATGATGAAGATGGTGGTGGTGGTGGTGGTGGTGAATATAGAGCCGAGGTTGCTGAGAGTTTGACACCGGTGAGAAGGAACCTGTTGTGCTTTTGGGTGTGCTCGTTAGCATTGTGTATTGGAATATCACACTCTCTGCATAGTATTGCCCTGTCCTGTTGACAAAACAAGAAGGCCTTTCTCTCCTGCATAAACACAAACACATGATTAGCAAAGTTGAACTAAAGATCAAACAAGACTTCGTGAACACCAGATGAAATTTAAAGGCCAAGGCAAGAGTATTTGAACACCTGACAAATGTCACAAAGGGGTACTTGTTTAGGGGAAGGGTGGAGGAGAGAGAAGCGTGGGTGCTTGCTTGCAAGCTTGTTGGCATGGTGGACTCGGTGGTCACAGGCGTCGCACAGAGCAGCCTCATCAGCTGAACAAAACACCGATGCTTCGTCTTTGTTACAGACGTCGCACTGGATCTTCATCGGGTTTCAGTATTTGATCAAGAATCAATGATGGTAAGTAGAATGAAATGGTTTAGACAGAGAGAGAGAGAGAGAGAGAGAGAAGTGATGGTGAGCTTAGAGAGGGAGAGGGAGAGAGATGGTGGGCAAAAGGCGTTGAAACTGGCAACCCAATACACAGGTCTGAAGATTTCTCTTACTTTAAACAAAGGTTAATTCAAGTTGCAAAATGGGACAGAATATAAATTCAGATATTTTAAATTTAAATTTTAAAATTTTTTTGGAATCATGATATATTTATTTTTCATGAATTTTTTAGCCTCAACGTGAATAGTATATCTTTGATCAAACTAATAAAAAAATTAATCGAAGTGCGAATAAACTTTTCTAAACAACCTTGAATTAAAAAAAAAAAGATTCCTCTTACTCTAGTTAGATAAGATTGGAGCATTAGACCCAAAAAGAAATAAAAATAATTGTTGGATATAAATTATGATCAATAAAACTTTAATCTAATATGGGTCCAAAACATATTCAATTTTTTGAAAAGAAATTTCTATTATTGAGTAAAGAATTCTAACCCCGTTTTAATTCTATTAATATTCGTATCAAGATTTTTAACCAAAACCTAATTCAAAGTTGAAATAGTATTCGAATTAAAGTTTCGAATCTTCAAAATTCAATCCGAATTTAACTTGAATTAATGTCTGATTATGCAACTCTAGAATTGAGCCTGATAACACCTTAAATATGACTAAGGTTGAGTTCGGATATTAAGTTCGAGACGTCTAAGTTCAAGTCATTCAACTCATCTCAGTTGACCAGGGAAGTTAAGGTCAAAACCTTTTCCCCAGCAACCACACCACCACAAATACTGCACAGATGACAACTAGTTTCTACCCAAACACCAATCATAACGTAACGGTCTTGTATTTGAGCAAAGAAATTGTAACCATTTCAGCGGTATCCTTAACAATAGCATAACAAACGCAGACATTACGAAAGGAAGGCGATGATGACGCCTTTAATCATGCGAAACCTTTGAAGACTATAAATATGGGCTATATCCTTCACAACAAGATAGATAAGCAATTGTAGCTTAAGCAAACGCCCTATGTAATTCCCCTCTTTATCAATATAAATCCAATAAGCATGAGACTCCCTTGAGACTTGAGAGTGGATTAACTGAATTTCCAGGCTGGTAAAATACTATAAATTCCTTGTATGATAAATCCCTTTTTTCCAATTCAACTCTCAAGAGCCTAGGAGTTCAAACTGAGTCATTTAGTAATCCCTGATTCTCAAACTATGCTCTATCGTGTTATACACATCATCATAACCCAAGTTGAAATTAATTTTTTATCACCCAAGCTTAAACATCTAAACACACATATACTTTTGATTAAATAATTTTTATGTTCAAATTAATTTGAGTCATGAATTTACTTCCCCAATTTTTTTTAATTTTTTTTTTTGAGTTGCAAGTTTTGTAATTTGAATTGAGGTCGGATTACCCACAATCAACTACACCAACCAAGTCACAGCCTACAAAAAAATTGATAAGGTGGATCTATAAATGGGGAATAATCATGGTACATAAGTTTGGACTCTGAAAGGAGAGAGTGAGACAAGGCAATATGGGCAATGATCCCTTCCAGATTTCTCTCAGTTTGAGCTGAGTGAATTTTGCAGTAGGCAAAGATGGACATAGCCCCACTCTAACTCACTTCTTTTTTTTAAAGGTGAAGAGATGTTTGAGTCAGTTTACGTGTATTTAGATTAATTTCTTTCTCGATTCAGTTAAAGATAGGTCATCCACAATAGAACTATGAAATTCTTCATAGTCTAATTCCAAAAAATTGTCAATATTCAAATTTAGAACTTCTAAATTTACCCATTGTCCTTGTTACCATTTGACTACCTTTGGGTTACTCCTACTCACTGACCAAGTATTCTTTTTTTTTTTTCCCTTTTCTTTTTGGACTTATTGACCAAGAATTCATTTCCTAGCAAGTTACAAGAACTTCTCTGCTGTACAATGAGACTGTGTGTGTGTGAGAGAGAGAGAGAGGAGTTTCTATCATTTACATGCTGCAACAGGATTTACCTAAAATTTTTGAAAATACTAACTACCACTATAAAACTGGGACATGATGTTAGTGAAGATTATTGATAAATTCTCCAAAAAAAGGGTAAAAAAAATGGCACATCCTTGTTTTTTTTTGCTCACTATTCATTGCAGGACAAAGGAAATTGGTGGAACTCGAACCTTGTACCAAAGGACAAGGAGAGAGAGACACTAACCATTAAATCATTCCTCTTTGGTCATCCTTGTTGGAAAACGTCCCTTCAGCAATTGGGGAGCTTGGGACACTTTTAAAAGCGAGCATTATACATCCTGAGAGCGATTTTTAAATGAGGAAAAGGGGCGCATAGGCGACGATTCTCTCGAGTGTCTCGAGCTGGCCGTGGTGGGTTGTTCCATAAATAATGGACCCCTCTGTTTGTGTGTGTGTGTGTGTGTGTGTGTGTGTGTGAGCTTATGGGCAAAGGCAACCAATCGCCTTTGCTTTCTTCTCTGTCGTGATATTCTCGATGGTAGATTACTATTACAATGAATTACAATTACAAAAAAATAAAAAAAATTATCCGAAAAAATAACTAAGGATATAATATCCAAATAGAGGTGCAAGAGATTAACCAATAATTTTCGATTGGCATCTTCATTGGAGAGTTAAATATAACTAACTAACTAACTAGCTAGACTAGACCCGATTATTTTTTTTTTCTATTTCTTTAGCAACCCATGTTGGAAATGGCAATTAATTTTGGCATAACGGTAAGGTCACTCTATTGCGACATGAGGTCACAGGTTCGAATCGCAGAAATAGTCTCTTTGTTTGCAGAAGTAAGACTAAGTACATTTACCCATTCTTAAATTCTGTTATCTTTCAATGTGTTGATGGGAATGGGATAGCAAACTGGTATGCCCTTTCAGTGCTGTGAAGTCTCCCTCTTATCATGCTGCTCATTTGCCAGTTTATGGGCCTCAGTACGTAGTGTATGAGGTCCACAGTCTCCTGGATTTCATGAACCATGGTATGGTAGTGAGATTTGCAGAAGATCAATTACTTTCAGTGACACGCGGTTGGTGTTGTTTGTAAAAACTCAAATTTTCTCGCTCAATATTTGAATTCAATGCTCTATAATTATGACAGCTCGTTGGGACTAAATTTATTCTTCAACCCCTAGAGCACGCGGTGAGACCTTAATTTCGAGCCCCATGTAAGTGCAGTGGGATCCCCTGGAGATAGTTGTGTGGTATTGAGGAGCAATGCTTCTTGACCGGTATGTAGAGTAACCTATCTGCATATCTGTAACAAAAAAAGTATTACATTTTCACTTTTTTTGCTTTCTTAAATTATGTTATTCTTTAATTTTCAATGAAATTTCCATTTAGAGTCGGATTCTCGCAAATTGGACATTGTTTTTTTCGTCGTGTTTCTTAAATCTAAAGCAACGAAAATTGTTAAATCAAAAAATAAAATGAACTAAATGACGATAAATTATACTACAAAATCTCAATCTAACTAGACCAACAAATAAGATAAAACTAAACCTTAGACAATGAGGAAAACACTCACCACCGAAGTATGGTGGTTTAGTAACGTATCAGCCGAATTTCTCACCCTGAGGTTAGAAATTCAAGTTATGAAGTCTATATTGAGATTCGGTGGTTAACTACTATACTAATCTAGTTAGGATCGTTCTTGAGAGGAGTAACGGACACAGTTAAAAATCTCATAATCTCACTAATAAGGGCCTATATCAAAATAATCTTTGGACGCTCTCTTTTTTGCCCAAACTTATTTTAATTAAAAAAAAATGCGGAAGCTATTCGTCTCTTATCCTTCATACTACAATGCACACCCAAAAAGCAATTTTTGTCTTGTGTTAAGTGACCCTATTACCTATTCTTATAATCATATATTTTTGATATCTTTATATTTCCTCTGTTCTTAAATATCTGTCGTTTAAGGTTTTTTACACAGGATTAAGGAAGCTATTAAATAGCTCTAATATACGTAAAAAATAATTACACAAGACTAAAATACATTTATTCAATACGTATTAAAAAGAAAATAAATATGAAAGACACTTAATTTCTACCTAATCTAATGCATTGAAAATGTAAAGGTAAATTTGAAAGAAAAAATATTAATTATGTTTTGGTTTCATTAAACGACAGATATTTAAGAACAGAAAGAGTAGTAATTTAATGTGCAGGATTAGTCCACTTGCTTGGATTGTGTACCCAATTTCTCATAGCTTTGTCTTGCACTTAAAGAAAAGATAGGCCACATTGGTCTAAAAATTTCAACTTCTCATCTCTCCCCCCAACCTGCTTTGTTCTCTTTACCTCCACCAATCGTGGAATGCCTTGTGTACCATTTTTTTTTTTAGCAGCTAATGTATACCTTTTGAGTTTCCATTTCTAACGAAGAAGACTATGGAGACCATTTACCATGTTGGACTTGGTCAGTCTCCGCAAATTTTGATTAATTTATTTTTATTCGATCATAGATAAATCATTTATGTTAAAATTAGTATATTTATGAAAAATAAATCTCTCATTTATAAGAAATTGTTAAAATTCAAATTCAAAATGTCTAAATGTCCCGTTTGATAACATTTATGTTTTTATTTTTTGTTTTTATTTTGATATTTGAAAAAAATATGAAAAAAAAAATTCGTATAATTATCGTTTTTATTTTATTTTTTGGTCATCGTTTTATAAATGGGAGGCATTTTTTAAAAACAGACAAAAGACGTTTATCGAAATAACGAAAAACGTTTGATGATGCGCGTTTGGTATTAATAAGGTCAAGGAATCGAATCTTATTAGCACAAAAAATATACATTTATCAGGCACCCCTATAAATAGCAATATCTCCCAATCCCTAACCCCTCAAACCTCTCGCCTCTTCGTCGCCTCTGGTCTGCATCGTCAGCCCCTCCTC